GTGGTGCATGGCATGCCCATATGTTGAGCGTGAGGGCCCACAGAGCTCAAAGAACACGGGCAGATCAATAGTTGTGCTCTTAAAGGGCCGACGGTGGGTTTTGATGAGATATGCCTCTTAAACAGCTGAATGATTCATTAGTGAGTCAGCACACTATACATCCTGTGTGCTGCAGATTCTGGGGCGAGACTATTGCAGGAAAACAGCTGACAGATGGTACCAAGCAAAATTACTTAAGTAAAGCAAACCTTTCTGCAATTACATGACCTAGTCTGGTAGACTGCATCAATGTGAGCAGGAAGAGGTTTAGAGAATTCAAACAACCCTGTAATACAGCAGAATCTTCATTTTAAGAGGATAATAAGCAGCTAAATGCTAAGAGGATCATCTGCAAGATATGGAAGTGGAGAGATGTGTGATTTTTGGGTCAAATCATGTCACGGTAGGGGCATGAGATATATTGGAACCATATAGTTAATGTCATAAACACTGTAAAAAAAGGATTTAAAAAAAAAAGCTGTACATAAAACAGTATGTTTTACAAAAAAAAATAAAACTTCAGTCTTTCTACTTAATACTTTTTCTCAGGTTTGTGTGTTAATTGCCTTTTTTTGTAATTATTGTGAAGTTTATTAGCAATTTCGGAGTGAAAATTGTTTCGAAATAAATCCTACATGAAGCTTTTTTTATTTTTCAGTGTAGTATGTTTTTTTTTTAATCTTTTATTGGTACAGGCTGATATTGGTTATTTTATTTTTAGTTTTACATTTAGATTTAAATTAATCTTTAAAAACGATAATAATTTAAATAACACTCTTAAATCCTTAGCATATGTCAAAATGAATATTACATTTTTCTTGCTTTACATTATAATGTTGTGATGCCTGAATTCACTTCTAGCATTTAAAACCATTGTTTTTTTTGGTTTATTCAATCTTAAAACCAGCTCTTTTAGTATGAGTTATTGGCTAAAAATAAAAATACTCCTAAACCCTTTATTAATCAATGAAAACCTGGAACACATTATTAAAATATAATATACTGTATCTGTTAATATTAATCAATGAACCTGAGACAATGTGAACGAACGATGAGCTGTTGTATTTTTAGCATTAAAAAAAGATTATTAAACAGTGTAACAAATGTACTGCTTATTGTTAATGTCAGTTAATGCATTAACTAATGTTAACTAATGGAACCGTATTATAATGTGCAACCAACTTCTTAATTGACAAACCCACAACAGTGATAAACATCATGTGTCTAATATGCGAATGATCATGATGCAAATGAGCAGAGACGTTCTGCCTCCACAACGCTCATGAAATGTTGATGTTGATATTCTCACAGCCCTTATGTGCGCAGACAGCTTGATTAGGGAGCTGGAGAGAAACAGGCTGGTCAGGATGTCAATAATGGGGAGGGATTGGCTGCTAACTGAGCATCATGGGATACCAGAACTGGCTAGCGGTTGTGCAATCATATAGAAACTGCAGGGAGGGGGATGTCCTGCGGAGGAGACTGCGTGTGATGTCTCAGGGGCTGATATAAAAGCTGGCAGTAGATGAGATGTGAAAAGAGGAAGTGTGAGGACAGATTAACATGCACCGGCTGGAGTCACACTGAAGGAATGGAGAATACGGAAGCCTGGCGGTTTCTCGTCAAAGACTCCAACTGTCTCTCACGCTCTCATCTTTCTCTCCCCTTAGGCTTAGGGAGGACTGCGAGCGCCCTGATTCAGGCCCTAATGCCAACCAATCAGCGATCTCCTGCTTGTTTCCACATGAAGGGAAAAAAATCAGCATACATTCAGCATACACATCATCTTGCATTAATTTCCCATCCACTCCAAAAAGTGTGTACCGATTGCTTGCTTATTGCTGTTGCATCATTCTGGGTGTTCAACTCATTATGCATGTCTACAACCTAAAATTAATATTAAAATCATAATTATAAAATTATTTATATCAAACACCACGAGAGTGAATGTGCATATGTGAATGATGGGTTGGAGTTGGGCTGATATGGAACAGTGTTATTTATATACTATTATTGCATTCCTTAATATTTTGAATTGAACTTATTTTTATATTTTCAGTTTTCATTTTAGTTCAAGTTAATTTTTATCATTTTAAAATGGAGGCAAGGTCAGGCTTCTCTGTGCACTTCCTGCAGGCACTCTTGCTTCCGAAAATCACTGTTCGGAGAAAAACAAATCCTCATTCACATACATAAGAAATCCAATTCCGATAAGTGACACATCTTCAGATATGCGAAAAGCCTCCAAATCCTTTAAAGAGCCAATGTGCGGCTCTTTCAGACACATCTTCCACACAAAGACTCTAAAAAACACAACAAACAAGAATCAACCAAATCCTCCCTCATCAGACCCCCACCGCCGCTCGATTCATCTGGAGAATAAGAGCAGAGATTGACAGCATGATGTTGAGACTGAATGCTTTGTAAAGCCCTGAGTATTCGCTTACTATTCTCAAGTGATCTATCTTTAGCTCCTCTTTATCCTTTATTAGCATCCCATGAGAATGCAGAATGTGTAGGAAGGGCTGATTTCCACTTGGCCAGAGCAGAGTAGGACGACATCAATTATTCGAGAAGTCCAAGTCAGTCCAGTGGCTCTACACACCTCTCAATAAAACATTGATTCAAGTGGGGAAAAAGCTTTTTGTCAAGCGACTTTTCTGGCTTCAGCACAGGTTCAGGCTTCTAAGATCAAAAAGACAATCCTGCTCAAGCCATTCTGAGAACGATGGTCAAAACAGGTGTGAAAGAAGGATGGGAATGGACCTTAGTCAGGGTAGACGCCATATTGAAAAACGAGGCTGTGAAGGATAGACTTTACAAAGACATGCGCTGTATAATGCTTATGTAATATTTATTTTTCAAAACTCACAACTTTCAAAACTGTTTTATAGAGTTTTTGTTTAGTCAGCTGAACAATCGGTATGTTGTTAAACAACAGTAAGATCTTTTGAACACACTGTACTTCTGTCCCTCACAGCCTCGTTTTCATTCCTGTCAAAAATTACATATGGCGCTACCCTGACTAAGGTCTATCGAGGGAGAAAAGGTGAAAGTAGAGACAGTGTGGGGTTAGTGAGTGTGGATCCCAGAGGTGAAGACGAGCTTCCACAAAGACAAATTGCTATTCATGCTGAGATCCTCCAGCGTCCTGATTGGCTGTAAGAGTGTAATTCAGTGGTTATCAACGTTTTTTAGCCCAATGTCCATCTACACAGTATCTAGGTCACTTATCGCCCTACACCAAATAAAATGTCCAATACTAAAGTGCAAGATCATTTTATCTAAATATTTGAAAAATGTAACACTAAAAACTAAAATGAATTGTTGAATTTGGGCATATAAAAAATTTATATTCATTTTGAGATCTGCTGAAGACTACATTTAACAGTGTTATTAAATTATTAATGTGTATAAATAAACATTAAGTGAGCATTAGATGATGGCAAAAGTCACTCAAATGTAAAAATAAGGAAAATGCAGATGTACAATTAAATGCACAACATCAGCCAACAAAAACAAATCTTGAAGATACATCGTGTATTTGCCAAACTTCTCTGTCTCCTCTTAACATTATTCTGTTTTTATTCCTTTTCTCTTGACATTATTAAACATCTCTCCTCTTCACTCTCCTTAGTGAAGGGCCGTAATAAATGCTAATAACCCTCATTATTCATGCTGCATCCTTTGGCCAGGGAGACCCTGCAAATCAATTCTGTCAGCCGCAACTAGACAGGCAAAATGTAATCATGTTGTTTGCGGAGGAAATTAAAACAATTGGGTTTGACCTTTTCTTTGTCTCTCTTAGTCAGTTGATTTCAGACTGAATGAGGGCAGGCAGGAACAGACACGTTTTGTGACCTAAGAAAAAGAATGCTTCTTGTTTAACTCGTACCTCCAATCCTTTACAAATGAGGCGCACCGGTCTATGAAGGTCTGCTTAGCCTTAACTACCACATGCCATGACAAATTACTAAATGTACCAAAAGAGTTCAGGTGGTTTGTGCGTTGCTGACACAGCACTGACATTGACTTCATGACTGAAGATCATGATATTGTGTTAAAATAAATATGAATATATAAAACACAAATATATATTTAAAAAAATATATAAAGTTATTTATTCCTGTGATGGCAAAGCTGAATTTTCAGCAATCATTACTCCAGTCTTCAGTGCCATATGATCCTTCAGAAATTCTAATATGCTGATTTGATGCTCAGGAAACATTTATTATTATCATCCATGTTCTTCATATTAAAAATGTTGTGTGCTTAATATTTTTGTGGAAACTGTAATACTTTTTTTCCCAAGGAATCTTTGATGAATAGGACGTATAAAAAACAGCAATTATTTGAAATGGAAACCTGTCACTTTTGATAAATTTAATGCATCCTTGCTCAATAAAGAAATTAATTTCCTTAAAAAAATCTTTCTGACCTCAAACTTTTGAACGATAGCATAATATCTCTAATATAACAGAAAAAACACATATAGCAAGTCACACTGCAGTACACTGTCTGTCAATGTCAACTACCCAGCACTGAGAAAATAGTGTGACTGACATGACAACAGGATAGAGCAGGTATTTTGAGTTACGAACACACACACACACACACACTGGTATTGGTGGTTTATGGGGACTCTCCATAGGCGTAATGGTTTTTATACAGTACAAACTGTATTTTCTATCGCCTTACACCTAAACCTACGCCTTACAGAAAACTCTGTGCATTTTTAGATTTTCAAAAAAACAAAAAACATTTAGTATGTTTTTTTTTAAGCCTTTTGAATTATGGGGACATGGGCAGTGTCCTCATAAACCACCTTCACATTGTAATACCTCTGTCATACCCATATCATTATACAAATTTGTGTCCCCGTAAACCACCCAAAACAGTGCGCACACACACACACACGCGCGCAACTGGCTATTGATGTTTGCATTAGTGGACTCGTGTACCTGGTTTGTGTTGGTGTTTGAGGGCAGAGGGTTGGATACCATTGGTCCAAATATGTCTAAGTCGTCACTGATTGGAGCTGCACTGCTTGTTCCCGCCCCGCTGCTGGCAGAGCTGGCTGTGGGTGCATCTGAGCGAGAGAGAACCAAATGTCATTACAGACATGGACAAAGTGTCAAATGCATTACATAGAGTAACAGTCACTGTGTATTTTTATTGGTTTCACACCAAAGTTAAACAAATAATGTGACCAGAAAGTGTTTAGAGTCACACTTGAATATCTACATATATCTTTGCCTTACATAACATAAAACAGTGTCAACGGTTTTGAAGATCACTGCAAAAGCACACTTTAAAGGGATAGTTCACCCAAAAATGAAAATTTGATGTTTATCTGCTTACCCCAAGGGCATGCAAGATGTAGGTGACACTCTATCTACAATCTCAATTAGGAGTGTTAATGGTACATTTGAGAGATAGGTGGAGGTAATGCACTTATAAGTCTGCGATCTGCCGTAAAGCAAGAAGAAGAAGACGCGTCATGCGCCGGCTGAAGAAGAAGACGCGAACGCGCTCAGGATGCGCTCAGGACAGTTCAGACATCGCGGGGCATCAGAGGGAAAAAAACCGATATAAATACTG